AGCCGCGCCACAAAGGGCCCGCGCGCAGCCGCCGCCGCCGCGCGAGGAGCCAGGATGGTCCTGGTCCACGTCGGCTATCTTGTGCTTCCAGTGTTTGGCTCTGTGCGAAACAGAGGTATCGCTTTTTCGTTTCGGGGTCTGCTTCCGAGCGGGGATCGCCGCAAGCACCGGGGCGGGGGTGGGCGCCGCGGGCGGCTGGGTACTTGGGGCACACCCGCGGGGACGCAGGGCGAGAGGTGGCTTTTCCTCATCCCCTTTCGGGAGGACCCCGAGTGTGGGGGTGGCCGCCCTTGTGGGGAGCTTTTGTAGTGAAGTTACGGTTTGGCAAATGGGTCCCTCCCTCCCCAACCCCATTTTTTATTCTTTGCGGCGGACGTAGTTCCTTCAAATCACAACCCCTTCCCCTAATACCTAGCCCTGTATGATCGAAAGAAGGAGAGAGATACATGACTGTGTGTGTGTGCGTGTAAGCATGCTTGGTTTTCTGTCGTTTGCCTTTTTCTGAGGTATATGTTTGTTTTGTATTCTTTTGTGTTTGTATTTCTTCATTTTTTTGGTCATTGGTACCAATGGCTGGTTAGCTGGGATCTGGGTATCTACCCCATCCCGAGCCTCAGCTCCTGTCCCCTCGTGGGCACTTGCACTATTTCCTGTCCCATCCTTTTCTCCCCTTAACCCTTTTTGTGTATCACCCTTGTGCTATGGCCCTGCACCCCCACACCTGCCCCTCGGCAATTGTCTTTGTATGACAGTTGCATATATGGGCTCGAGATGGTTGAGAGTGTGAGTTGTGTGTATGAGTGTGCATGCATGTGTGCCAGTGTGTGCGCGCGCCTCGGAGAGTCAGACGTGCACTACTGTGCACCCCTGGGCCCGGCTGGAGCGGGGGTGTCTGGCCCTTGGGTGCAGCGCTGTGTGTGAGGCTGGGGTGGGGAGCTGCCCCTTCCAAGCCTTTGCCCCGGCCGGCATTGACAAAGCAGCAGGCCGGTGGGCAGCGGGCTTTGTTTTTAACTGTGATAAACGGGGTGTGTTTGCACGGGTCCCCTTTCCCCACATCCCCTTTCCCCTACATTCTGCTACAACAATAGCTTGATTTCCCCTTTCCTACACCTCCCCCACATTTCTTCCATTTTCTTTTAATCCAAAAGCCCCACCTTCCCAAGCAAATCCAAGATGCATTTAGATTTTTTTGTTTTTTTCCTTTCCTTTTTGTATTCTGCCTCTGGACTCACATTTCTCTTCTTGGAAATGTTTCTTCTATCCTCTCCCACTCCACGTCTGCTTAAATCCCTGCTGGCTAAGGCCCTCCTCCCCCACCCCCCTCCCTTGCACACACCGAATGATGTCTTCCCTTTGCAGACGAGTGCTCCTCCACCAAGTCAGAGTGGGGGGTGGGGTCGCAGGGCCAGCGCTTTTAGTGTGCCCCAGGGGCCCGACTGGGCAAGCAAAGGGAAGCCCTGCCCTCTGTCCTCCAGCCCAGCTGTCCCCAGCCCCACGCCTCTCCCTAGGACCTAAAAGGCATGGTTGACCCCCTTAGGCCTGTTTGAACCGCAGTTGTTCGTGTGATGATAGACTGATGACATTCTGCATTTATCAAATCTTTTTTTTTTCTTCATTGTGTAGCTCAGTGAATGGTCAACTCGCTGCTGTGTGCGCTGTGACCCTTCTGCCTCCGCATTTAGCTGTATTGTGACACCCCTCTTAACCATTTCCTGTCTCCATCTGAGGAAGGCATTGCTATTTAAGCGGCAGTATCCCCTATCTCAGGCCAGCCTAGCCATGGGGGGCTGGAGAGCTGGGTGAGGAACAGGAATGAGGGGGCTTGCATGAGACCTCCCCTGAAATGCCAACCCCTCCCTCAATATGCAATTATCTCTTATTACTTGGCGTTTCCTCTTAAAGCGGGTGTGGAACATTACACTAGGCAGAAATTCAAAAATGATTAAGAAGGATGTTGAGCCTGAAAGGATAATTATCCTGATTAAATCATTATCATCCTCATTAATACCACCAATCTCTAAATACCATTGCAGGATGCCGATTCCATGTTTTGAAATTCAAATTTCTCAGCTGCCTTTAAATTTTATTTTTAATACCACCCCCCCCCCGCCCCCAACAACAACAAAAAACACCCAACAAAAGAGATTCCGCCCGTCAGTCAAAGTTTTACTTTCATGGCAAACACGCCCACAGGAAATTCAAGGGCTGAGGGGCGAGTTGAGCTGTGGGTCAAATTTAGCACAGTGTGACAAGAATTCATGACCTTTTGATAGAGGATACTAATGCTTAACCCAACAAGGTCCTAAACCACAATCTTTTTGTAAAACTATTCTATAGTCTGCCAGCTTAAATCTGTTCTTTTTAGTTTCCATTGTAGTAGTGTAGGATGTAGGCCATTTCAGAATAGATGTAGAGAAATAACCATTTTTGTATCTTCATCTTGTTTAGCCGAGTACATTGCACTGTAAATCCCTGTTAAGTGGATTCCTTTTGCCTTGACTTGGAGGCTGCTGCACCCCATTTCCCGTTATCTGGGTGGCCATCAGCTCCTGGCACCACCCAGGCATAATGGAAGAGATTATATTTAGTTGGAGGCCAAAAATATTAAATCTATATATTAAAAAGAAAATCTTTGAAGAAATGACAGTTGAGGCTTATTCCACAGCCTCTAACGATTTGGAGCACAAAGGTCCCTGGCTGAAGGGGGAGCCACTGCCATGGTGTCTTAATTGTTTAATTGTACAATGTCGAGAGCATCTTTGGACATCCGCCCTGGCCCTCAGAGCTGTCCCTTTAACAGCCGGCTCCCTTCTGCTGCCTCGCCAGCCAGACCTGCTGGAAAACGGAAACAAAACAGCATCAATAATGAAAGAATAAGGCCCCTACTTCGAGGGCCCTTCCAAAATAAAGCCTCAAGTGGCCTCCCCAGACTGCCATTTGGCAATCTGAAAAGAAAGAATAGAAAAAAAAAAAAAAAAAAAAAGAGAGACAGAGAGAGAAGAAAAAAGAATTCCCCCGCAAAATGGTTTTCCATTAAACAGGGATAACGTGTTCTGCTGTGCTGAATTACTTCCTGTTCTTATTTTGTGGGTAATTTTTTCTGTATCAAATATCCTTTTGGTTGTGTATCTTTTTCACCTTTTCTTGTACTAAAACTAAAGCATGATCTGTATTTTTTTACATCCCCCAGTTGACAATGTACAGCGCTCGGTTAGAGACGTTACCCTGCTGAAATGTACTGTGGTCGTGTAGCCCGGGCCATCTGCTCATTGTACGCTGCTTTTGTTCTGTTGCCCTTCCGAAGCATGGTGGGCCCAGCCTTTTTTTTTGTATCGTGTGCATGACAACATTGTTACACACAGAATCCACTAATACTAATATACAATCTCTCAATAAAGAACTAGTTTTCCTATATTAACCTAGTGTGCTTTTTCTCTTGCTGTTTTCCCATTTATTGTCGTATCCTGCTGTTTAGATTTTTCCCCTTGCTTTTCTATCCCCACCCTCACCCACCCACCACCCCACCTCCCATTGTAAGATTCGAGTGAATGCCTTTTCTTTCTTCCTTTTCTTTTCTTTCTTTTTTTTGTGGTACAGATATGGTAACTTGATTCTCATCTAGTCCATATCTTTTTACAATAGATATCTGGGGTGAAGGGAGGGCATCAGTTGACCTGTCACACTGAAATAGCTCAACTGCATTGAGAGAACCCCTATTTTTGCCACCCGTGTACCCAACAGCCTCCCCATTTCATCTTAATTTCCATGTCACACGGACACTTGGTTTATGGTGCTGTGAGAGGGGAAGATGACACTTAGGTGGAGAAAAGGGATACTGTTCTTAACTAGCAACCTCGTAGCATTTCAGACTCGCCTGAACAACCCATTTTTAGTTGTGTTTTAATTTTTCCTTTTTCTGTTTCATTGATTTACTGTCCTTTTAAATCATGCTGGGGGTGGCATGTTACATGTAGTTGAAGCCATTATCTGGAATTTTAAGGGACTCTCATCTATGTGAATATTTAAGTTCTTGGGACCTGCAAGGTCACTTGATTGAGATCTTGGATACATTTGAAACATAAACTCAGACAGCCCCACACCCCACTTCAGGGCCTGCAGCAGGACCTGCCACTGTAGGAATGAGGGCCAGGGCTCTGCCTGCCCTGAGCCTTGAGCTGCCAGTTGAAGCGGATTATAGTCTGGTTCCCTGACAGCTGCTTCATCTGTGGCCTTAAGGCTTCTCTTAAGAGAAAGAAAGCCAGATCTCTGCCATTGTCTTAGGGGACAGAATGTGCATAGGGGAGGGGGGGCAGACGGGGTGGGGGCGGAAGGGGAGTCAGGACCCACCCTCAAATCGAATTGGAGGAAGAGCCCTTAAAAAGTGCCATTTTCTTGTAATTACTATTGAGAAGCCAATGGAGAGGTATTTTTTTCCCCCAGAGTGAAACCCAAATTCAAGAATTTATCAATTACACCTATTCAGTTTCAGCCCAGAAAAAGCCTTGCTAAGTGAGGCGTTTTAGACACTAAGGAAATCAGTCGATTAAAGAAATTCAGGGTTCCTTCAGAGGGTCATCATTTTGGAGCCTCTCTACTTTTGCTGTCGTGCCTGCTCCCTGCTCCTCTGGGATGTCTCCTGGGCTTGCCTCTGCCCATGTTCCTTCCCCGAGGAGGCACACCCCTGCCTGACCACAGTGTGTCCTTGCCTTCTTTGTGGCTTCATGCGACTCTCTTCTCCCCCCATGACTGCCCTCTCTGCTCTGGCCCTTTGTTCTCTCGCTCTCCCCAGCCAGGGTGGGAAAGCTGAGCTGATTTACTGTGACACATGGACACACAGAGATGTTCCCAGTGGAGGCTCGGACTGTAGTTTGCATGAGAGCACATATGCGCGTCTACAGGGCTAGTCTTCGAGAGTTTCATTTGTTTCTTCTTCTCCTCCTTCTTCTTCTTTTTGGTTTACATGAAACAACTTTGAATTTGTTTCTAGTTTGAAAAAGCAAAATAAAACAACCCCCCATCCAACCTCAACAATAATAGAACAACCCCAAAATCAGGTGGACCTCCTTCATTTTGTCGTAAAGAGCAGAGGCTCGTTAGATCACCATTAACCAACAC